GTCCCTCTTCAAGCGTCTTCCCTATTCAGCAGACTGCACAGAATTCTAATACTCTTATTTTTAGGAAACGTCTTCTTCGCCAGCTTTACACATACATATGGAACGTGATGCCTGCTGCTTGTTTGTGGCTCGACTGAGAATATAGCTTTTCCCGGCTTATCCTATATGCCATACACTTAACCAATTATCCCTTTTATCCTCTCTCATGCTAACCATTGATATGGGAATATGTCATATTTCAAAATGTTAATTCGGTTTTCTACTAGAGATTCCATAAAGTATGCAATGAGCGGTGTTTTTATCTTGTCTCTCCAAACTATCCATTTTTGCAGTTTAATTCCTCTGATATTGATATTAAATCTTCTTCTAACATCGAATCGAAGACTGGATAGATTTTCAGACATTTCACCTGCATCGCAGTCGCCACTAACTCGAGCCCATCTGGGTGAAAAATCTTAAAATGTACCTAGTCAGCGATCGGATGCTGTAAATCGAAACAATATCGATAAACATGAGCAGATTGAGAAAACGATGCTAAGCTAAGTTTATTGACCAAACCAGAGCCTTATGTATACAAGCTGGGCTTTAGGTGGTAGATAAATTTATATGCTCAAAAAGGTGTCCTGTATGTAACAAAATAAGACATTACTAAAAGTAGGGTTGAACCCTCAAATCCATCACCTTTAAATAGGACAATATGTTTCCTGATGATGTGATCTGATTGAGGAAAGCTCGCACTTGGCCCGATTCGCCTCCCATAACCACAGTGAGCAAGGAAATCTGACTTTTCCCACCGCTTAAAGCCCCTTTTATCATCTCAGCCACTGCATTAGCATCGCCGCCGAACTGCAAATGAAGACGATTTAACCAATACTCAAACTCTGTCTGTCCCATATGACGTTGGGTCTGAGACGGAGAACTGGCCGGTACGTGCGCTTTTGATCCACTCATCAACCACTGCAATCCGCCCACCATTGATTGACGAGTCTGGCGAACAGGTAGATGTGCAGGCATTCGGCGCCTAGTTTGTTGCGGCAACGGCTCTTCTATGGCACTGATTGTCACTTCGCTATCCGCCTCGAATACAGGACGTTTTACGACTTCTGTTGTTGCAAGGCAGGCAGTGAAGCAGGAAAAGCAATAGGAAAAGCAAATTAACTAAGAATGCTGACTCTCATAGATACAGACAATCATTGTATATACATGAAATCGAATTCTGCAAAGTATTGCCGGATGAGAACGCGCTCTTAAGATGCACCGAAATATGAAATTCACTGCGGAAATGTCGAACTCCATTCAAGGACAGGTTAGCTTAAAATGGTCTGGTACATCAGTCTTTATGAGCACATCTTCTTAACATTTTTTTATGGAAACCTAACAAATATTTTCATTCTAATACCAGCCAAAAATTTAAAGAAGATATCACGAACTGCATAGTTTTACCCCGTGGAATACTTTATTTGTTTTGTGTAAGGTAGGCCCTTTCGACTAAGAAAGATTTGTTGTGCTTACTTCCATTTCGAGTGAAAGTGTTTGGTGAAGAGATTCGAAGATCGATTCCACCAGAAGACGACGGCGGATTCATCTTGACCAGCTGTCGATTGGCTTTACTGGAACATTCATGCTGACGCTGCTTACGAGGTAATCTCCTTCGATTCCGGTGGTTGCCTTCTGGTGGAATTGACCTTCAAATCTTTTCACCAAACACTTTCTTTCGAAATGGAAGTAAGCTCAACAATTGCGAAACAATAGATTCCTCGAAACCCAACTTTTCTTCGCATAAGAAAGATTTTCCAAATCCTCTTGTAAATAAAGAAATGACATGTCTCTTCTTCCGGGAGAATGAATAAAAACTGGTTTGCTGTTGATTATCATTAGATGGCTAAATCCCTCCAGGATCAAGTGAATTAGTAAACATGAAATTGTGTATTTATATAAATACATCCATAAGTGGTTATAGCTTCAGGCATATTTTGAGCACAAAATGGTACGTATACTTATAAAAATCCAGTCTCAAATCGTTTAAATTTAATGATAAAGATCTAAGCAAGTCACAAATTAAAAATAATATATTAAAATAAACAATAATATGCATATGCATATAAAAAATAAAGTAGAATAGATATTAATAATTGCTCATTATATTTTGATATTAAATCTGTGCTCTAAAAATGTGTCTGCCTAATCTCGATGCATGAAAAATTCGGAGAAAATAAGATTAAGAGAGCAAACGCGTACACAGACAATATCCCCTCTGCTATTGGCATTTGCATGCTCCCTACCCTTTTTTTCCACTAATAGTCCGATGACGTAAGACCTATTTATTGCAAAGAGCATTCTCATTCCGATCTCCAATATCCGTAAATTGATTTATTTGAGGACCGCATTTAGAAGTTCCGCTCATCTTGCAGACGCTTCAACCATTGCTCAACTGAAATTCACCAATTCTAGGCA